TCTGATAGGACTTTTTTCCCAGGGTTCCCAATCTGATAGGACTTTTGTCCCAGGGTCCCCCCTCTGATAGGACTTGGGTCCCCCCCATCTGCTAGGACTTGGGTCCCCCCCATCTGATAGGACTTGGGTCCCCCCCATCTGCTAGGACTTGGGTCCCCCCCATCTGCTAGGACTTGGGTCCCCCCATCTGATAGGACTTTTGTCCCAGGGTCCCCCATCTGATAGGACTTGGGTCCCCCCCATCTGCTAGGACTTGGGTCCCCCATCTGATAGGACTTTTGTCCCAGGGTCCCCCCTCTGATAGGACTTGGGTCCCCCCCATCTGCTAGGACTTGGGTCCCCCCATCTGATAGGACTTTGTCCCAGGGTCCCCCATCTGATAGGACTTGGGTCCCCCCATCTGATAGTGCTTTTGTCCCAGGGTCCCCCATCTGATAGGACTTGGGTCCCCCATCTGATAGGACTTTTGTCCCAGGGTCCCCCATCTGATAGGACTTGGGTCCCCCCATCTGATAGGACTTTTGTCCCAGGGTCCCCCATCTGATAGGACTTGGGTCCCCCATCTGATAGTGCTTTGTCCCAGGGTCCCCCATCTGATAGGACTTGGGTCCCCCATCTGATAGGACTTTTGTCCCAGGGTCCCCCATCTGATAGGACTTTTGTCCCAGGGTCCCCCATCTGAAACCCATGACCAAAGTAGTGACACATTCGGTCACTGTACTCCCTTTTTGCTGGGGAACCCTGGAGGTCCCACTTTGAGAACCATTGCCGGTCAGGACGAAACTGCAAAAACAGAATAACAAACACGGACACAAAAAGTATAAAATCATTATTGTTACATTTGATGTGATTGCTTTTTTAATAAATACTCTTTGCATTCCTCAAAATAAGTGAAGAACAGAAAAAGAATATATCTGTGGTGACTACAAGCTTTTCCTCCAAAACGGTGCCTACATGATATTGATAAAGACGTCGTACCATTTTAACATCGAGGTGCTCTTCATGCACGGACGGCGGTCGTTAACATACATGTGACCGCCTGCAGAAAGGTAGTAAAGTTTAGAGAGAACGAACCTAAAGTCCTCAGAGATATTTAAGTAGCAAGGCGAAGTCAGCTCGGTTTCAGGCTTTCCTTTAAAACAAATGACACCATGCAGAGACGACAGACGGCCAAAGTGCATCAGTGTGGACGCCGGCGGTGCTCGCGGGACAGCGTGAGTTACACAAAGCACCACAAACAACAACCAGCCTCTCAGAACAAACAGCATACACGGCAATAATTGCATATTATATCGTTATATTATATCACACCTACACAGGACACACGAGATACCAAAGTCAAGACAAACATCTCGGCTTCTTCTTCTCAGGGGAAGACAGTTTTAAAATGATTAGCAGGAACAAAGCGTTGAATGTGTCACGATGCTCGAGACGTTTCAATGCTGAAGTTTATAAATCTTAATTTAAATGATGTGGGGAAAGTTCAGGTTCTGTGAGCGTTCTGTTCAAAAAACTACGGCTCAGTGTGTCAGAGCTTAAATTCTGTTTCTTATTCTCATGTTTTGTGTTTATGTGACTTATTGGGACAACACTTTTTGGTCCAGTATTGAGCGAGCGTGCTGCAGTCAGCAGCAGCGAAACAGATCTATAAATGTCTGACAACATTATGGAAAGGATCCCTACAGAGAGAGACCTTATTTTAAAGAGTTAAGATCCTTATTGTTAAACCACAAACAGTCGCTAAAGCCACCAGACACCATTAATAAAAACAGTAATTTTACCTCTCTGCGGTACCTCTCGCAGTCTCGCTTAATGAGTAGTTGTGTTATTGTGTGACTTTGGTTCTTTTAACTCTTTAAAACACCAAAAGTCACACAATCACACAAACAAACATAAACAACAAGGTTACAAAATAACAATAACTAACCAACCAAGGCAGCTGTAGAGGTAAAATTCTTGTTTTTATCAATGGAGTCTGGTGGCTTAGATAAGAGCGATAGAACGACTGTTTCTGGTTAAACATAAAAAGATCTTACTCTTCAAAAAATACCCACTAGTCACATAGACACAGAAACATGGGGCCCTTCAAAGGGCCAGATAAACTGCAAATGAACACGGACGCCATCCTGCAAACGTGTTCACGTGGTCATAAATTCGTCCACTCACAGACCGTCGCGGTCACAGGACTTGTGTGTTTGGCTCCATGCAGCTTCTCGCATCAGTCTGAGTGCAGAAAATTAAGGAGATTTTAAAGTATTAAAAGTTTTACGTATTTTGGGGGGGGGGGCGTGTTTTTACCTTGATTGACAGGTGTCTCATGGCGCGGTAGTTGCCATGTCAGGATTTTCAGTCTCCAGACGCCCAAACTCCAGGTTTTACGTTTGTTTAGAAGCCCGTGAGACACCACATAGAAAGGTTCATTCAGACTGTGGTGTCGTACGGGCGCGACCAGGAGGTGAAGCTATGAAGCGCAGAAAGGAAGGAAGTCACAGAAAAGCAGGAAGGAAAACTGTAAAGCTGGAAACTCGTCGTGTTTCAAAGAGAAAACACTGCATATAAAAATGATCGAAATCACAGGAACTCTGAAAGAGGCACAGATGAAGACGCTGAAGCTAAAGCCAACGGAGAAACTGGCGAGGCATGTAGACAAATGAGAAAGGTTTAGCTGAGCCAATCGCAGCTCTCCCGGGAGAGAATCCTGGGAATCTATTGGCCGTCGTGTCCTCAAGCTTAACAGGACATTTTGTCTGCTACATTACGGTCTGCTTAAGCACACAAACCTGTCAGACCAGAACACGAACAGACGGATCAACAATCGCTGCTGTTCAGTGGACAACATCTGTCCGCTGGTGGTAACGCAGGGACCTCGTGTTTGCACTGCAGGTAGTTTGGTTTCTACAAGCGGTCTGTGTTCTCGCTGAGCCTTCAGAGGCACACCCGGCGTCCTCCACGACCAACAGCGGTCATGACTGACAAAGCAGACTCATGAAATCACACCTGAAAGGCAAAAGTGCGAGGAGAGACACGACGTCTCTGCCCGAAGAGGCACCAACATTCGCCTCAAACACAGAAAACACCTGGCGCCAACGACCACGAACACACCGGTGACTTGGGAAGTGTTTGTCTTTCTACACTCTTAAATCAAGTAGAGTGAACAAACAAAGCTTCATCCACAATCTTGAGTTGAGGTCCCTCAGAAAGTGAAGCAAGTTCTCCACACAGCGCGATGACGTACAAAGTCAACGCAGAGGAGAACTGAAGCGAATCTACAGCAGCGAGCCGCCGAGTTCCGTCCTCGACTTTCGTTACCGTAGCGCTTCATATTTACTACAGAAACCAGACACAACAGGAGGCTGCTTGGAGAAAAGTAAGAAAGGAAGTTGGACTACCTGGTAAACAAGTTAGCTTAGCATAGCCAGAGCTGACAAAGCATGAAATGTTTGACAAATAGGATTTTCGTTATTTCAGCATCCTGATGATCCGTTTATTGCAATTTAATCACAGCAAAATGTTTATTTTGGGTTCATATTGCTGTAGTAACTCGCACGACTGAACACAAATAATCCGAGTACCGAAAGGCAAAAGAAAACGCTTTGCTGTCTTTGTGAACACACCTTTACAGCTCTGGACTGAGACTCCGCCTCTTCCTGCTACCTTTAGCAAAATAAAAGCTCCAGATGAGTCCTTTATCTAGCAGAGGGAAAATAAGAACCAGTACAGCGGGAGACTCACCATGGACAGCTTCGACGTAAAAGACAAGGGTCAGGTGAGTGACGAGGATAGCCGAGCTAGCACTAGAGCTAACAAGCTACTCCACTATCTGTTTACTTTCATCTGTAAGCAGCCTTAGCTTAGTTAGCTAGAAACACCTGTGGGTGTCTTCAGCCGTCTGTCACCTGACCCTCGCCTTAAGACTGACTGACGCTGTACAGAAGCCCGATTTTAGCCACGACCTTAGTCGTATCGGTTGTTCTTTGTCATTCAGTTTGAGGTCACAGCGTCTGATCCACGTCGTGGCCGGTCGATTGATGCGTACAGCGCGAGCGTAAAAAGTTTGTCAAGAAAAAAAGCAGATGAGTAAACGCGAGTTAAAACGATGTAAAAGATAAATAAAAAGCGCAGCGTCCGCTCAGCTTTACGTGACGTAGCGGCTCCACAAGAGTCTCCAGCATTGTTTACTGACAGGTCTGGCAGCCCCGCCCACCTCATTTACATACTAGAGACAACTAAAATGCTTCTTAATACCAAGTTGAAAGAGTCACATGAGAGTTTATGTAACTTTGCTCGAGCAATATACCGTGTAATTTAAAATGAACCGTCTTTTAAAAAACACCTGAATTAAAGCACAATGACTTCAAACATGTTCCACTTCAGATGCAGGTGTCAGGATTATAACCATCCAACATGTGGGATCTTTCACACGGAATCTGGACGCGTTAAGTCCCCCGAGCTCCGTTCAGAGCTGAAAACTCATCAACATGGAAACAGCATATACTGATTTTTATAAACAACCAGACTAACCGTCAGCTCTGTGCAGGTTTAAAACATCAATTCAGCGCCTCGCTTTTCACCACGCTGCATTAAATCTTTCACAATCACCCTGGATACAAAAAACGCTACCGATCCCGAGCATGAACACAGTGTTTAATCTGCATGAAGGTGGAGAACTTCAGCCGCCTCTTCTGAAACAAGTCCCCAATGCTCAGAGGAAAATAGTGCTAATGTCAGTTAATCTGGTCCGTTAGCTCGTCTCACCGAACCAAACCGTTGATCGTCAGCTGAAAGTCTGGTCCACCTCGACCTTTAACAGCTTCAGCAGTCTCCTTGGCTCCAGCAGACTTGATAAAAACACACCCGTCATCTCTAAGCGTGTAAACCTTCGATGATTGAGGGTGCTGATGCCCAATGAGAGCAGACCCGTTAGTTTCTGGAGGTTCTGAACAGCTAAACAGACCAAACCTCGTGAGACCAGGTCAAAGCCAACACATTTAACCTTTAGAACTCGATCTCCTTTATCACAGTGCCAAAGTCTTCTTCAAAGTTAAAGCCATGTTATTATTGCAGATATTATTGAAAAGGTCCGAAGGCTCGAAACCCTCCTTTGGACCAAAGGTGCCATCGTGACGGTCAAAACTCTTTCTATAGACGCAAAGGAAAATGCAGCCAGTATCCAGTCTGTAACGTCTCGCTGCAAACGTAACAAAGTGCTTGTCATCTGTGTGATATCATCATCGACTTCACGTCGTAGTCAGAAGATCGGGTCGAGTCCGGTTCCCGCGGACTGACTCCATGTCTGGTTTAGGATAAGCTGTCCTTATCGGAGTCAGGGGAAGGAGGACGCGAGATCTCGAAGTAGGAGCCCGACGACTTCCTGGACTTGAGAAGTCGCAGCATCTCAGCCAGCTGTGCTTCGAGCGCCGCCATGCGACTGTTGAGAGATCTGATGTCTCCTCTTAACTCTTGTTTCAGCTCCAGGAAAGAGGCTTGCATACTCTGCTCCGGTATTGGACAGAAGACCCTCTTCTCCTCAGACTGGACCGGGCTTTGCTCCTGTGGCGTTCTGGCGCCGCCGACTTTGTCCAAACGGAGGTCGCTCTTTGTGATGCCGCTGTCACAGGAGTCAGTTTTCTTGAGGGGCATCTCGTCGTGAGACTTAGTTCTATCGGGCAGCGTCTCCATGGACTCGGCCTTAGAGACGCTGCTCCACGACTCGGCCTTCACGACTGACTCCTTGAATCGTCCCCAGCCTTTAGCTTTGGGAGGCTCTGCAGACTTGCAGCCGATCAGGTTTCCGTTTTGGGTGGCGGGAGCGTGGAGCATGACTCGGCTGGAGGTCCTGGACGACGAGGACGCGGTGGACGTTGAGGAGGTGGCGGCCGGGCTCTCAGTCACCATGTCTATACTGGTGGAGGCGAGGACCTCAGGACGTCTGGGGGGCTCCAAGGGAGGGACCCCTTTCTCCAAGTCAGCGGCACCCTGAACGACCCGCTCGCTGGCGAGCCGTGCCTCCCTCTGCTGCCGGAACCGCTGGAAAAGTCGTCGGACTGGATGATCCGGAGGGAGGTTCAGAGGCGCCTCGTTCTTCCTCTTCAACATCTCCTCCTCTTCACGTTTCACGTCACTGATCTTCCGGAAGACGATCTGTAAACAGACAAGAAACCAGAGAAACGATCAGCTCAAATTCTGGCCACAGATTGTCTTGGGGATGGACTTGTGTGACCATTTAGGCCTTGGACTGAGGATTAAGGAGTGACTCCGCCTCCAAACAGACTCCCACAGGTACAAACAAATACTAAGTGGCCTGAGAAGGGGATTCTGGATGGATACGTTGATTGAAAACTCAGTAACACCACCTGATGATATTGTCTTTACTGACCTCCAGTGATTTAACTTCTCACCTTCCACCAGGTGCACTCCAGGACACTGTGACATCACTGGTGGGTGTGGTCAGAGGTGAGAGGGCAGTGACACATTGCTACGCAGCCTGCTGTTGAGTTATTAAAGTTTTTCGACTATAAATAAAAAACCTTTCATGGTTTCAGTGTCAGAAAAGAGTATAAGGGCAGGTAAGTTACTTCAGTTAGCTGTAATGTGGCTGTTTAAGCAGAGTTTACTGAAGGTGTTGTGCTCGCTGTCACAGAAGAGAAATAAACTGTTCATGTTACTGCAGCGTCCTCCTGCAGTCTTCACTGCAACATTACCAGTGGAAACACTAAGCTAGCTAGATACATAGGTGTAATTTACACGGGACGCTGGGGACATGTCCTCACCACACTTTGAAATGGCTGATTTTGTTCCCGTTCCTTTGTGAAAGCATTTGTTAAAAATGTTCAGAAAAAACAACTTTGTTAACAACATGTTAACTAATGAAAATGCTTCAAGAAAGGTTTATTTGCACAATAAGAAAACATGAAATGCAATACAGTTTTCCCTCATATAAAAAAGACATTTCCACCTTAAATTGGAGCAGAAACTGTCTCCAGAATGCAGGAAACTACAAGTTTAATGCTCAAAATCTTCTGAGGGAAGGACCCCCAGACCGCCCGAAGATTTACATCAAATATTTAATCTAAATAGTGCTAAAAATCTTCTGGTCTTGATTAATCTAATCTGAGCCCTTATGTCTCCAACACTTTTCAACACAAAGTGACTAGACACCTATAGCGACAGTGCCAGCGAGGGTCAATCAACTTATGTGTAGTTAGTGTTTCCCCTATAAGTGTATTGTGACCGCCGCTACTCTTCTCGCCACGTGACAGGTGCTGTTATAACAGGAGCGAGGTGCGAGTGTTTGATTGTCCGAGCGGAGGAAAATATTGTGGCAGTAAATGTCCGGTGTCGGTTACTGTGTGTCTGCTTCTCAGGACCAAGAAACGTCTGTCTGTTGTTTCCCCACCTGCTGGAAAAGTGAAGCCTGTTAAGCTAACACCTCCCCTTCAGACTGTGCAGGAACGCTTCTGCAGCAGGCTGCGTCTTCTGGCTGCTATGAAACATTAGCTCAATTTATAGAAAGTAACTGGAAGCTGTGTTTTATTTCTACCTTCTTGTCCAATGTTGAGAACATCAGGTACAAGCTGGGACTAAACCTGTGCAGCCTGCAGCTCCGTCCTGTTCAGACTGGTTCATCCTGAATTATTTTTCAGTTTCAGGTGAGTCTGAGGTAATGAGGTGACTGTGGAGGAGCTGAGGTCAGTAAAGCAAACTAGTCCTTTAAAGCTCATGAGGAGATGTTTCTGTTTGGATTTTGATGTGCAAATAAAACGCACCTCAGAATAGAGGAGGTTTCTCATGTTGCCTAGTTTTATAGATTAATGTGTACTAGGGCTGTAAGGGTACATGTATTCGTACCGGACCGTCTCGGTACAGGAGTTTCAGAACGGTGCACTGATTGCAGTCTTTAACGTCATTTATTAGGCTTGTTTTGTGTGGAACATACGTAAATTCCAAATTTCCACACAGACAAGTTTTATAAGTTTTAGCCCCGCCTCTCGCTACTAGTGACTTGAACATCACGGCCAGTGCAGAGAAGCCAGAGCTTTAGGACCCTCCCTTATTGTTAAGGTCTTCTGTTTGGGAACACTTTGGTTTCCAGTGAAATACAACAACGGACAAGTCGATAAGACGACAGCAGCGGGCCGACATTTCTCAGTAGTGATCGGGTTTGTTTCTGGCAACACATCAAACTTGCAAACTCACTAATGGTGTCGCACGAAGGAGAACTAATAAAGCGTGACTTCAAAACTGAGGTACATACTAGAGACCTGCGTGGGACTGTTTTCTTGATCCCGCTGATATTGTGACCATTACCGCCTGTTACGTCCCGTAGGGTCCTGTGGTTAGTGTTGGGGTCCCTGTGTTCTCTCTTTTGCGCTCTCTCTCCAGGTATGTGCCAGTGCAGCGGCGTCATTCTCACAGCTGCAGCTGGTTGTTGCTAATCAGCTGCAGGTATAAGGAGCCCCCCAGGTTGTGTGCAGAGGAGTGTCGGATCGTATCGCCGTGCTGTGCTGTACGAAGCAGCGGGGAAGCGGACGTTGAGGTGTGGCGGAAGGGTAGACCTGCTCCTGCAGTGGCGGCCGCTGTGTCTCCAGTGGAGATTTCCAACATTGTGACATGCAAAGTAAAAAAAATTACACAAATGTTTGGACTATGCTCGACGCCCCGTGTGACGGAAACCAGCGAGGCTGTGCAGCGAGTAAACCTCACTCCCGACACCTAAGGAGACGTCCTGGCGACAGACGTCAGCGGCCACGGGGTTTAGCTCCCCTCGTCTGCGTGTTCGCTGGTTCGAGTCAGGCCCGTGAAGTATGTGCTCGTGATAATCTTCTTTTTAACTTCGTTTGTTGACTCCATCTTATCAGCGCTAATGCGGGACGCGCAGTATATTTTTTTAACCGCCGCTCCCGTGCGATTTCAGTTGGGTCCCGCGGGATCCCAAGGCAGCTCTCTAGTACATACCGAACCGGGATTTTTGTGTACCGTTACACCTCTAATGTCTAAAGATAAAATGAAGCTGTAAAATGAAGACACAAAAGACAAACATGAAGAGTCGTCTCTATAATGATTCTGAGGTCATACTAACAGGGTTTCAGGGGGTCCAAAACATGCTGTGCCATCGCTGTAAAATCACTGTGGAGCATCAGAACCAACCAAATTACTTTCTCCAGATCTAAAGGTTGTCGTTCCTCCAGCAGATGGATCTTTGGCTGTTAGTTTATTCATTATCTGCTCAAGCTTTTCCAACTCTTTGTTCAGAGTTGTGGTGAAAATAACGGCCCGACGTGATTTTCATTGAAAAAAAACAAACATACTGCGCACTACACACACGAAAAGAATTCGCTTCAGTCCATCCCAGGGGAAACACTGGTAGTGATGAGTTTCTAGTTAAGTAAGTCTATTTCAGCAACCTGCCAGTGGCGACTAACTTCATTTATTTTAAATATTTATTAGATCTAAACCTTGCGAGTGCTAATTTACATCCTATGTGAGAGCTAACGTTAGCAGCGACTGACTCGCTGGCATCCGGCCACTCTGCTTGTGTTTTAGCCTGAAAGGACGTACGATGAGTCAACACTGCAAGCAGGGAGGAGAAAAAAACGTGTCCCTATGTTTATTTAGCACTTTTATCCAAAGCTTTTATCGCTCAGTCATGCACACACGGAGCTACCATGCAGGGTGCTGGCAGCCATCGGGACGGGAGATGTTTTATGTATAAACACATACAGTTGACATAGCAGAAACCTCCACTGAGCCCTGAGTGAACGGGCAGGAGAGCGAAATGCTTCATGTTTCCTGTGATGCGAATCTGAACCAGCCGGAGTTTCAGGCCATCAATTAAAACTGCATGACAACAGTGTCGAATGGAGCACTCGCATCTGAAAGTAATGGATTGAACATCTACTGAAACAAGTCATTTATTATTAAAGAAGCATCTCTGTGCTGTACAGCTCTGAGACCTGATTGGAAAAAAGAGAGAAATTAAGAAGAACCCACAGAAACTACAAAGTAAAACACTTTTACTGCACACAATTTTATACAATAGGTCTGTTTCGATGCATAAAGTGCAACTGAACTCAACAAAAGCAACAAAATACTACATCATCATTAAAAATAACTTTCTAAACTCTCCTTTGTGGTGAGTTCAAGGACTACGCTGCAGTATTAGGGTCACTGTTACGGGGGAAAAATTAGGATTTTAAAAAGAACGTCGGAATATTTTTGAAAAAAACAAACAAACATGAAAATAGTCGTAATTTTAGCAGCAAAGAAGTCAAAGTATCACAAGAAAAGGTTTCTCTCAACAATAAAGTAGGTTATGATTGGCTACATTAGATGTAAAGCACGCCACTCAAAGAATCCTCAACAGAATCCTGTGGGGAAAGTCTGTAACGCCAAGGAGGAGCAGGTGTGTGACCAGAGTGAGAGGTGCCTTCTATGATTGTGTGTGGTGTATGCCGACTGTCTCCATAGCCTCAGTTAGCTTAGCATCTGTTCGAGGTGGGAGGAGCTCATGGCGTCCTGTCCCCGGCGCTCTGCATAGAGCCGTAAATGAAGGCGGTGTGGTGAAAGCTTGTGTTGTAAAAGTACAACCTGCTGGGAGAAACACTTTTTAATCCTTATGTTGGGGCAAAGTCATCAACAAACTGTTTCAGGTTTTCCTGCTGATTCTGCAGGTTTTATGTCCCGCTGACCAGAGAAACCGTCAGTTGACATGGTGGCTCAGATGTCAGCACACATGGCTCCCGGCTTCAAGATCATAGATTTAAAACTCAGTTGTGTGTATTTAGGTTTTGCCTGTGTGGAGTTTTGTTCTCTAGAAACAAAAATGTACAAATCAAATCGGGGCTTGTCACTGAACCAAGTACACTAAACAAGAATTCCTAGAATGAGCCGTTCTGATGTTTTTTTTAACACTACTGGTAGCTGAACACATCCTGACTTCATTATCAAGGGAAAATCACGTCATGCTAAATAATTAATATCTAAAAAGTTTTCTCATAAATTTGATAGGACATTTTTTTTCAGTGTTCAGAGTCAAATGAGAACCAGTATAAAATCCTTTGACATCTGGAACATAACCACAACAGCTGTCGGGATACCACAGACAGATAAAAGAGTGGTCCTTTAATCTCCTGATGCTGCAC